AGTGTTGTATATGAGCGCTCAGACGGCCTTCGACCGCCTTCGCTATCAACTATTTTAATTTTTTGGAATGCTGCAACCCTATTGGTCGGTTTCATAGATCGCCTGTAGCATGCGTAGGATTCGTTTTTTTTTCGGAAAAAAATACATGTCGACCTTCCCCTGGGTGTAAAAACCATTTCTGGAAAGTTTCATAGCATTTGCTCGTACGGTCTTCAAATGCATAGCGAACAGACAAACAAACAGATAAACAAACAGACAAACATTCTTCTTTATATATATAGATGTGTGTTCTTAATTGAAAATTTATTTTGTTTTCTAACACCTGACGAAGAAGGACGTGTTCTTCGAAACGTCGTAATAATAAATAAAAATATAGAGAAGAGAAAAAAGCAAACTTTAATTAAAAAACATTATGCCCTTCCTAATAATTACTGGATGTGTTACATTGTATTATCTGTTTCCTTTTTGTATTCTTAAAGAATTCAGTAAAAGTACGCTGAAAAAGATTGTGTCTGAAGACATGAAAAAAATCTTCCTATATTTAGCAACAACAACTGCATCTTCTCTCATATTTTAATCCTGCAGTGATTCCATCAATATCTTATATTTTTCTATGGGAAATCACCTTTTTAAACAGAATTATTTCACAAAAAAACTCCTTTGATTTTATAATTCTTTCAGTAATGGCCTTGTCCCGACGTTATCAAACAACTTGTTTTCTTTTATTAGTACTTCCATATTTTTTTATTATCTATGCCTATTTTTTTTATTCATCATCATCATCATCAATCAACAATTCAATACAAATAAAACAATTATCTCGTCAACTAAAGTCAACTGATACTGGACGAGTTTTAGTTATTTATATTTGGGCTAATATAGACATACAGGCACTTGGTAATCTTGAGTTCCTTATTAGTTATGGTGTTCATCCATCTCAACCAGCTGATTATTATTTTATTTTACAACAAGTTAATAACATGACAGTGAATGAATCACGTTTACCAAAACTTCCATCCAATGCACATTATATTCAACATATAAATGAATGTTATGATTTTGGTACAGTTGGATGGTTTCTATCACAAAATATAATAAATACAACTTTATACAAGTATTTTATCTTTATGAATTCATCTGTTCGTGGACCATTTTTTGTTACTTATTTTGATGATGAATACATGTGGTGGTTTACAATATTTACTAAACGTTTAAATGATGAAATAAAACTTGTTGGTTGCACTATAAGTTGTGAACGCGAACCACATGTGCAAAGTTATTTGTTAGTCACTGATCAAGTTGGTTTTTCAATATTAACTGGTAATCAAAGTAAAGTATTTAATTGCAAAAATGGTTATAACGATGCTGTTACGAACGGTGAAATAACTACTAGTCGACTTATTCTTCATGCTAATTATCAAATAGCATCGTTACAAACAAAGTATCAAGGTTGGGATTTTCGTAAAGAAGAACATTGGAATTGTAATAATCGATTAAGTCCAACATATACTGATCGCGCTGTTGATGGCATTTCACATGATCCTTATGAACTTGTATTTGTTAAATATAAAGGCTTGCCACCATTTGATACTGATCTTGAACGACGTGCATTAGTCTATCAAAAATGGTTGGGTGAACGTCGAAAAGCAAAAGAAAAAAATTGAAATGCTATAAAATAAATAAACTCTTAGTTTACTACTTATTCGTTGTTCTATATTTCAGTTGAAAATATTTCTAAGACGGAATGCTTCAATTCACTGAGCTTTATGTGCATATACAAAAAAAAACATTCTTCAAATATGATGGAATAGCTATTTCATTGGTGAAGTGGTTTGGAAGATTGTTAAGTAAATCATTGAGAGTGCATGCAGGTATTGTGCAACATGTTTCCGAACGAAAGTTTCAGAAAACTATCAGTTGTTCTATAAACCATTGTAAAAACATCATAGGAAAAGAACAGAAACGTAGGATATACCAAGTGCGGATTCAAACATTTCGTGAATGGATTCGACATCAATTAGTCTCCAAGTAGAACTCGATATGCTCTGTCAGATTCACACCATCTTTGTGCAAATGAATCAAACCCTAGCCCACTATACCCGAAAAACCATTGAAAAACAAGGCGAAAACTAGCGAAATCTTGAAAACCCTCGCGATTCACCCAGAACTGGTCTCCAAGCTCGAGACACACATCATCGGATAGATCTCGATGAGTTCTAACCGGTGGACACCTTTTGGAGCCTTTCTAAACACTCAGTCATGCCAAAAATTGCTAATTAGGGTCTAATTGGCCAATTGTTGAATTTGTGGTCGTCTCGATTCACTCAGACTTAATCTCCAAGCATGAGTCATAACTCTCCAGATAGATCACGACGAGCTCTATCCAATGGTTACCTTGATGGTCTTGTTTGAGTACTCAATGGTGCGAAAAACTGCTAATTAGCAGCTAACTGCTCAATTTTTCCACATTTTGGCCGGCGCGATTCACTCCGACTTAGTCTCCAAGGATGAGATATGACCCTTGAAATAGATCTCGATGAGCTCTATCCAATGCATACCTTGATGGTCTTGTTTGAGTACTCAATCACTGGAAAACCAACTAACTAATGCATAATTATTCTTGTTTTCGGTTTTAATGCATGAAACAAGGATGAATTCGACTCTAGCGTATTCATGTACTGCTTATACAATATCACGTCAACTGTCGTCGAGTAATAGTCACGTTATTCCTAGATTCGAAGCATGCTTGAAAGAGATTCAAGAAATGAATTAGTACTGGTAAAACGCATCCATAGAACACAAAATATGAAGAAACACGAGATGATGCAATATTTCCCTAGTTATCACTGATAAGAACGTACTTGCAAAACTGCAGTATTGCAACGTATATGTGTATGCATGTTTCCAATTTTAATAAAAGATCTCAAATAAAAAGAAGAAAAAAAATCTATTTAATACAAATTGGATAGACATTGGCGGTAACTGTTTCGTATCCACCTCCATGAAGAACTGGAATAAGACGCTGTTTGCCTCCATTTTTAACACGCGTTATAACTAGTTCTTGTCGTATTTCAAAATTCATTGAATTGAAGTACAAACGTTCAGGTTTCCATGTTACAGCGTCTTGACATTCAGCTGTATGATCCGGTTGCCATTCAATAATGACTGTATCATTACCATGAATTCGATGTGGCGGACTAGTAAGCCAAATTTGTACTGATGAACTTTGATTCAAAGTGATTTTTGATGTTTATGGATAATATTATAAGACCTAAGGATACATCCTTACAATTGTATGCCCAATCTGTTGGAATCATATCAAAGAGATGATCGTCAGGTTTGCCAATCGATATTATTCGATAATTAGTTGTCTCTTGTACCACAAACTACTCACGACGAACAACACGTGTTGTTCCTAAGGGTATCTCTGTATTTTTAATAAAATAAATTTCTTCACACGGATATTGTCGACCAGAATCAACATCATATCTTTCATTTACATACCAATAATCTTCATTTTCTTGCGTATGATTAGTTGAATGTATCATTGAATATTGAAATTTTATATAATTTCCTATTTCGAATGTAGTTATATTATAGTAGGGGTGTGGGTGTGGGTGTGGGGTGTGGGTGTGGGTGTGGGGTGTGTGAGTGTGGATGTGAGTGTGGGTGGGTGCGTGGGTGTGGGTGTGAGTGTTGGTTTTGTTCTTCGTTGTATCTACCCATCCACGCTCACACCACACACCCGCCCACCCGCCCACATCCACACCACACACTCGCTCACCCACACCCACACCCACATCCGCCCCATCCACACCCACATCCTCACTATTCGAATGCACAGAGAGTAACATCTAGAGTATTAAATCGTATATAGAAAATTTTCGCATATTATAATCCTGGCTGCTAACATATCCGTCAAGTCTGTAAAGAAAGAGTTAAAAGTTCAAATATCTACTAATTTAGTTCAATACATCTTTCAGATCGTATTTCATAAAAGAAAGACAAAAAGGATAATTACAAGAGATGATATATATCGATGTTGTCACAATTACTAGCTATGAGTTTTGAGCAACTTTTTTCCTTGCACCCAGCAGTAGCCATCGTTAGTTCGCGTTCTGTGCTGATTGTATCGTGGTAAACCAGTCATGTATGTAATAAATCTCTGTATGAGAACCCAAACTGTTTCAAAATGTGCCAATCTTTTCTGCCATATATAGACACTATCGGAATAGGTCACTCGAACTCTAGGATTAATGAAAGTCCTGTTCGGCTGACCAATGTCTGCATGAATAAGACAGCATTCTGAAGCATCCCAATCAGATTCATTTTTTAAAGAACGAAATTGCAAGCCATTTTCGAAAGGTGCACTATCAAAAGCCACCATACCAGACCAACAGCTTTTGACACGAACGAGAGGGTCCCCTCGTCTTATTTGTAATTGACTTTGCCCAGGAGCAAAGAATGGATACAATGGTAAACCCATGGAATATCCATCGGCATCACGGGTCGCGAAGGTATCGTAAAATTTGACAGGATTGATAAAATCGAGTGCACAAGTTGCTGCATAATCTCCGAAGTTTGTCTGAAGAAGGTGAAGTGCATCTTGGCTAGAAAATACTATATCGTTGAGAAATAGAATTTTCGAATAATGACGACTGCCGTTGATAGACGTATTGACTCGGTCATTGAAAAGGGGTTCCAATCCACGATTACGAATCAAGGCAAGATAAGCGATGCGAGAAAGGTATCTGTGTGTGCCATTTTTTAAGTACAAAGAGGCATATTGATGATCATCAATATTTAGTTTATTTGTCACAATTTTATGCTTGCATTTCAAGCGTTTACCAAAGTCCTGTAATAGTTGAGGTGTTGCATCTGTAGAATTATTTTCAAAGATGGAAAGATAGACATTGTTCGGTCCAAGTTGATCAATAAGTTCCAGTATTGCATGAGTCCAAACACCAGCACGTAGAAATGATTCTGACTGATGGAGATTAGCAACAATGAATATTTTGCCAATCGAATACTTGTTTCTGGAAGATGAATCATAAGTATTGACAGTGCTGGAAAATTTTTGAAGTCGATGTGGTGAGATAAAAATATTGAATAAGATCACTACAAAGCAAATACCAACAAGTAATTTTAAGAGTATTCTTTTCGTTCTTTTTTCTTGTTCAGTTTGAAGCTCTTTTAATATTTCCATCGTCTTTCTCATTTTGTATCGATAATAACAATGTAAAACACGAACAAGCTATGTTGATATTATATAAATCTAATTTAATTTGCCGATGCACTTCAGGACAAGTTATAGAAGAATACGATAAATTGTCGTAACCTATATATATATATATATATACATATACGAATATTGATTTAGGACCTTACAATTACTTTGAAATTATATTCAATCATGATGATCGAAAAATTCTAGGTAACATATATGACAGAGAACAACAGTTTTAATTTCTTTCGTGAAAATGTCGAGGATAAGCATATCATTTATTTGACCTTTCGTCAAGTTCAACTCAAAGAAATTGATTTCAAGTAAAGAATTACTCTAATCCTAACTTCAGTAAAAACCAGAATAAATAGAGATATCAAAAATATCATTTTTTTGTAATTATTACGACAGACATATTTTCCAAACAGTTTGAATCAGTTTCTTTTAATACACCCTTGAATAAGTATTTCTAACCGAATTCAAACTATTGAATAAGCTAATAAAATATAAGAGTAAACTTACATTTTTACCGTGCTCGAAACAGGTGTCAACTGTTTGCTTTTTTCTTCCTATACAATCTTACATATTGCTTATACGTAAATGAGAGAAAAACAAATTGCATGCAAAAGCTATTCATGCCTATTTCTTTTCGATTCATTATTCTTTGCCACTATTTATACGCCACATGACTACGTAGTCATCAAAAAACAATTTCATAACAAAATTCAAATAACTACCCAACGAAGAATGACCATAATTCTGACTTTTTCCTTAAAACATCGAAGGCAAATATTTCATTTATTTGATATTCTCTCAAGTTGAATTTGAAAAAAAACTAACTTCATGAAAAAAATTATTAAATAAAAAATCTACTTTTTGCGATACTCAATACGTTGACATTTGACAATTGAAAATGCTTAAATTTTCGTCTGATTCAAATTCTGAAGCAATGAAGCATTTTCTAAAATTCAAAATAGATCTCTCCAACTAATTCAATTTCATAATCAGTACAGCATTGTTATAAAATAGTTATTGAAATTGTTTATATGCTGCAGATGCAGATAAAAACAAAATTTAGAAATTGTGGAAAGAGATACTTCATGGTATAGAACATCCTAAAAATAAAAAAGAAATTGTATTTAATGATAACCGCTCATACGATTCTATGCAATTCTGTTTAAAAATCTCAGTGTAATGTAATACTGCAGAAAAATCGATCTAACGAAAAAAGTTCAAAACATTCCTCTTTTCTAATAATATTAGATCTAACTCTCTGAGTGTACGAATTCTTTTCTTTTAACAATTAGATTCTATCTACAGGGTTAAATTATAAGAAACCGATTAAAATCAAGATAAACAATGCTGAAAACCAGATTCTGTTTCAAAAACCAATTTTTTTTCAGTGAATTCATAGTTTTGATTTTAAATTAAGAAAAAGTCGAAATCGCAGTAACTGCTTTCTCTTGATTTAGCCATATGAAAACGTACGTTTTTATTTGGTTTCTTCATAAATGGTAATAAACGTATATGTGTATGGGAAAGGTGCAATATGCGCGCACAAGTTATTCAACTGTATTACTTTTTGCTTCTATTTCTGTCACTTTTTCTACCTCACATGGTAGCATATTCATTAACAAACGCACTTTAAACAAAACTCAAACATAAGTACAGAGGAAGCAGACAACAAATCACTTTTTTTTTATCAAAATGTCGTACAAAAGCATCTGATTTATTAGGCTTTCAGTCAACTTGGTTTAAAAGAAATCAATTCAATCAAAGAAATTAGTGCAACTAAAAAACTTCAGAAACTTCATAACAATGGATTAAATCGAGAATATAATTTTTGTTCTAGTAATTATGGTAGAACTCATTCTCTTACTATGTCAATCGTCTTCTTTTAAGGAGCAAGTTTTATCTAAAGGGTTAAATAATAAGATTACATTTAAAATGAAGACGAAAAACTTTGGAAATCAGACGTTTATGAATAAAGGATCTATTTTCGATTAAAAATTGATAAGAGTCGAAATAAGATACTCTTTCCCATTCGTAGCTTATAAATTCAGCTGTTAGTAATAAGTGTTTTTTATGAGATTCATTTTTTGTTATGGCTATCACAGACATTAATATTTTTTTTCGTAGAATGTCAAGATAACTTAATATGAGTTATTTAAGAGAATACTGTGTTCGAGAACATTTTTGTCTAAAGAAAAGTGTTTTTATGACTCAAGTGATTGGAGTTGATTTTCGATAAACATGTTTTATTCAATATTTAGTTGGTATTCAAAAAAAAGGAAGAATATGGCATACAATGATAGAAAACCTAATATTATTCTTAATATTTTTCATGGTATGATGGAAAAAGGAAGAAAGGGAAAATATCGAAAGGAAAAATATAGAAGAAAATGAGGAAAATATCGAAAGAGAAAAATATCGAATTAGAAAACAGCGAAAGGAAAAATGTCGAAAGGAAAGGAAAGAATAAATAGTCATAAGACGTCGCTATAAAACATTCGCTAAAATGTCTTATTTAATTGGTTGGTTCATGTAGTTAACAGTACTTATTCTTTAAGTGGTGCGTTTGTAAATATATGAATATAATAGATAAATATCAATCGTCATTGATTAATTAATTTCTTTTTGGTACTTCATTAATAATGGTTGTACTGATGGAATTTCGAGTGATGATCGTTAATAGTTAAAGATATACGAATTGTTCTTAGGTTTTTCAGATATGATGACTACTCCTAATGATAAAATATCATTTATCATGTCTCAAAAAGGAAAGAAAATGTTGAATATAAACAGTTTCATCTTTAAATTGAATAAGACAACGAGCACAACGAAATACTATCGATGTGAAGATTCATGTTGTACTGTTACTGTTCGTACTGATCTTAAAGATATTATCTTAAACGTTAAAGGTGATCATTGTCATCCACCTGAGCCAGAAGAAATTCAAATTTGAACATTCAAACAAGTTGTAAAAGCACGTGCTATAAGTGAAAGTACACCAATTCCACAGATTTATGACGAGAAAGCAGCCCGAATCGATTTATCGGGTGTGGGTGTGGGTGTTGGTATCGGTGTCAATCTTATCTTCATCCACACCCCACCCGCATCCACACCCACCCATACCCACATCACCCACACCCACACCACCAGAGATGGGCAAGTCAGAGGTTTTTAAGGTTCAAGTCAAGTCAAGTCATTGAAACGAAAACCCAAGTCAAGTCATTAATCACCAAAAAAACTATTCAAGTCAAGTCCAGTCAAGTCACAGCGCTTTTCAAGTCAAGTCAAAAAATGACTATATATTCTCATTTG